CTTTACTTTTACAGTTCAAGATGAAATCCAAAGTTTCCATTGGACAAACTCACAAGCTACTCTGCATCCATTTGTGTTTTATTTCAAAAATGAAGGATCACTTTCTTGTAAGAGTATTTGCGTAATTAGTGATTGTTTAACTCATGATACTACTGCTGTGTTTACTTTTCAGCAGCATTTAATAAATGAAATAAGACTGACCGTGCCTACTGTACAAAAGTTGATCTATTTCAGTGATGGTGCTAGCAGCCAATACAAAAATAAGAAAAACTTTATAAATTTGTGCCAACATTTGAACGATTTTCAACTATCTGCTGAATGGAATTTTTTTGCCTCATCCCATGGGAAAAACTCTTGCGATGGAATTGGAGGTACTACCAAACGAGAAGTAACTCGTGCTAGTATGCAACGACCATATCAAAATCAAATTCTGACCCCAGAAGAAATGTTCACATTCTGCACTGAAAAAATTACGGGTATAAAATACATATACGTTACATCGAAAGAAATTGAAGAATGGGAAGAGCGACTCAAGAGTAGGTTTGAATGCTGCTTGCCTGTAACAGGTACAAGAAATTACCATAGGTTTTTCCCGCTAAGTGACAACCAAATCAGATGTTTTCAAACATCAAAATCTACTCATTTCGAAGACCAGCCAACATCAATACAGTTCACTAACACTTACTCATTTAACAATCAAGACAACATAGCGTGTATTTATGATGAGAAGTGGTGGATTGGCAGAATACAAGACAAGAATGAAGACAACAAGGACGTCCTGGTTCACTTTTTCCATCCATCAGGACCTAACACATCATTTAAACTCTCAACAAATGACACTGTTTGGGTTCCAGTTAAAAGAGTTCTACGGAAAATTACTCCATTAGAGTTATCAACCACATCTGGAAGAAATTACAATATTTCACAAAAACTGTGCAATGAGATTTCAACATTATTCAACACTTTGATTAAATATTGAATCAATACTGTATAAGGCATTGTGATCCCTATGACATTTTTTTACACTCTATTTAATGCCGGTGGTTAAACATTTTCAATCCAAAAAAGTGCCAATAAAACCAAGATGAACATGAAAGTTTATTTTGTAAGCCTTAATTTAATCTAATAAAGTTTTATTTGTGTGTATATGATTGTAACATAGTAACATACCCTTTCAAAACAAGTAAATATAAACTGATTAGCTTAGTCGACTACTTGTTCTAACGCTAACTTGCTATGCTATTTTCGCCCAACTTTGATGTTGCATATCTTCTAAACTAGTTGAGTCTCAGTGATCAAACTTATACATCATAATTACAACAACTACAAGTACTTATGACAGAAATTTGATTGATTTTGGTTCAGTCCCTTTTGTGATATAAGATCTTGAAAATGGCGGAAATCGGATAATCCACCATATTTATAGACGTATAAAGAAAAAAGGATAAGACTTTCATAACCCAAACTTGAGATTTAGACTGTCTCATATGCCAACTTTAAAACACAAAAAATATTAAAGGTGAGAAATTACTTTTTCTTATGAAAATATTGCAGGGAAAATGAAATTTTCACCGCTGAAATCTTTTTTTTATGTATTAGCATTTTACATGCTAGACAACATATTTATGTCATTTATTATATATCAATTTTAAGCCCATTTCTTGCTGAATATTTTGGTTTTTAATTTGTCTTGATATCTTAAAAAATAAGAAAGCTATTAAATATTTAGTAAACGTCGATTTTCGTAAAAAACGCGCATTTTGCGCAAACAAAAATGGCCGCCAAAAAAAAATTTGAGATAAAAAAATTTTTTTAACACTTGCATGTCAATTCTATTGATACAGTTAACATTTTATGAAAGTTTCATAAAAATTAAAAATGTTGAGCAACTATGCCTGTATGAGTTGAAATGGATTGACCCATGATTTAATGAAAATTTAACCCGTGGGTTAGGTTAGGTTAGGTTAGGACAGAAAGTATTAACGCAGGTAGTAACCGAGGATTATAGGGGTCACTCTGAAATTTGGAGGGGGCGGGACGCGGAGATAGCGGGAGGTAACCTGTTAAATTTCACTTCTTACTTGTACTTTTATCTTCTTGAACATTCAATTTGCCGCTGGCCATTGCCTACTGTCATAAAACTGTTTATGGTTTCATACTAAACTTGTAATTAATCTACAGTATTTTTTTGTAAGTTAAAACATTTTTTTATGGATATTACTGTCAATTGACAAAACCACAAGCATTGTTGTTTGCATTAATTGTAACGCATTGCATTTTCTGTATCTTTGTCTTATATTGTTGGCTGTTCAGGTTTCAATGTTTTTGTTTCCCATATTTATTTATTGTGTTATATGCTTTAAGCAATCTAAATCTTATGAACTAGAATGATGATGGTGACTTTGCTGCTATTATAACCTCATTGTTTTAGTTACTCAGTTGATATAGCCCCCCCCTAAATAATTAGGTCTAGGTCTGGGTATTTTTATTCTTTGAAAGAGCTGTTGAATATACTAAAAAGATGTAATTGATCCCAATAACTTTGCAAATGAAAAAGACAATAATCTTTCTCTGTGCTTACTGGTAGCCGCTTACCATACCGATTTTGTATTGAGAACCGAGGTACAATATATGTATTAAAGATTTGTTTCAAAAGTAGTCGAGAACTTAACGTTGTGCTAGGGCGAATCATGCCTAACTAATCCACATAGATCCGATATGATATGATAATGTTTCCATGACTGATCGAGATGTTTAGGATTTTGTCGCTATTGCGGTAGACGATGATTGGGTTTCTCTTTTACACTAAAGCTTTACCCAAAGTAAATGTTTGCTCATTTCAATAAATTTCTATTTTGAAATTTAACTCTTGTCTATTATTACTTACTTTTCTTTCTGGTACAACTACAGTGAAGAACAATATTAATACAGTTTGACAAATCAGGAAAATATATTCGGTAATCGGTGCGACAACGGTTACGACAAAGTGTCCTTAAATGTACGGGAATTGTCCATGAATTTTTTATCCAGAATGTAGTAGACACCCTGAAATTCTAAATCAGGTTGAAAGGCTCAGAAAGGACCAGGTTGTTATACCAGGTCAACCTAGTATGACGACAGTTCATGACAATAGTCATTCAATTTCCCTGCGATATAGAAGTTGCTCAAGTGAGTTACAATACTATTTTGCCATTAATGAAGCCCTAAAATATCAAAATGATCGGATAACAAATCCCCTGCTGCAGCAAACCTGCAGAATAAGCGAATTTCCATTTGCCTGAATTGATTTTAAATTAAATAGATTTAAATAACATTAGGTAGGTTTATCGACGCTGGACGCTCTGGAGAACACCTTCCACGCCCCGGCATACCTCATGCGCATTGTAGAGGATTAGGCCTACCTCCGGTTCCGCCTCCTCATGTATGATAGGTACTACAGAAGGCCCGCAGATGATGAGTGTCACTTCTGGTGCTGCCCAAGGTTCCATACTCAGTCCGGACCTCTGGAACGTTGCCTACGACAGCCTCCTTAGGTCTGAAATGTCTGAGAAAACCGTTTTAGTTGGGTACGCAGATGACATTGCAGCTTTAATAGCTGCTCGTAGTGTTGAGCTGGCCCAGCTAAAATTAAACAGAGTCATGCGAACTATAAATGTATGGATGGCAGATCACGGTCTCTCACTGGCACTGAACAAATCTGAGATTGTGATTCTGAGCAAATTAGCGGATTGACACCAAGGGTGGGGGACTTTGAAGTCCAAACCGTTTGTGCTGCCAAGTATCTTGGTGTCATGGTGGACTCTAACCTTAGCTGGCGGAACCAGATATTTCAAATGGCGGACAAGGTCGCTAAGGTGATTTCTTCTCTTAGCGGGTTAATGGCCAATGTTGTAGGTCCTCGTTCCAGTCGCAGAAGGCTGTTGACGTCTACCGTTCAGTCTGTACTCCTGTATGGTGCGGAAGTGTGGGCAGACGCGCTCAATAAGGAGGTGTAGCCCATAGGATGCGGCTCGCCAGAGTGCGTCAAACTACAGCATTTTACAATATTGTCTATAAGAATAACTTGAAAATTTTGAATTGTTTGAATTTTCTCCTTGACTAATAACCATATAAAAACACTTTGGTATACTAAATTATTTTTGTTTTTAAGCTCTTTAAAATAGTCTAGAGATAAATTGGGAAATTTTGTATTTTGAGGATCAAAAGTGGGAAAACCCATTTTTTACCCCATAAAACCACCCGTAAAACCCTGTTCCCATGGTCTGATCATGCTGGTTCGCAAACTCATTCAAGTTTTTCCCACCTTACACCTTCATACCAAATTTCATCAAAATATGACAAAAATTACACAAGTTATCTCGTTTACGGACATATACATATACACATGTATAAATATATAATTTATATATATATAACGATCTTAACGAATAGTGATTTGGGCCTCTAGGGACATCAAAATGAAAAAGTAAATTGGTCCCGGCTCCAGGTCTTACTGGTAATAGCTACTTTCCCAGAGGGGAATTTGCTAATACTTCCCTATAGGGGAATACACCAAAAAAGAAAACGGCTCTATTGATTTTAATGAAAATTTATTAGGTTATGCAATGGTCCTTAATGTTCTAAACAAAATGGTACTGTGCAATCCCCATTGCTGTATAAATTACGGTTTAAAAGTTATTGCAACTTTTGTGGTTTTCTCCATAAAATATCATAGGTTACTACCACCACTTGCCCATGATATAGGTTGTTGACAAAATATAGGGTGTGCTAGATTGCTGATCCCATTTACTTCATAATGCTATTGGTACATTAATGGTAGGCCCAGATGTTGAAGTTACCTTCGATGGTTGGCCTTTCAATGCTCTTCCCTAGCAAAGAGAAAATTGTACCTGCAAGTTAATTTTGGTGAGTGACAAACGCATATCAAAAATGAATATACAGTATAAATACAGACCTATATGTTTATTATTAAAAGAAAACTAAAAATATTTTTTTTCCAGGCATAGACTTTAAAATAAGGACAATAGAACTAGATCAGAAGAAAATTAAACTACAAATATGGTAAGTTATTATTTCTATTTGTGAGGGTTTTATTATCTTATTAGGTTAACTTAAATATGAAAAAAATGCAGGCTGTGATTTTTAATAAATTTTAATTCACCATTATCGGATCTAGGCAGGGACATATTTCCGAATATTTCAAAATTTTGAAAGATAAATTATAAAAAAGGTGGTGTTAATCTAAAAAAAATTCTAAATGTTTAGAAATTAATTTTTAGAACTGCAAAGATGATATTTTTAATAGGTACTTTGATTGATATTCTTAAGTGTGGCAGATTGCGTGAAAATATAATAATAATATCTATGGTTCTTACCGTCAACGCAATCAGGGGTAATATTCCACTACGGCCGTTTCGGAGATGACTCCATTGTCAGGTGCGTAGTGGTACACTAAACTATGGTCTTGTCACATTTAACACGAATTGTCTTCATTTGCATTGCGTCAGGGGTTGAATAAATAATACACATTTAAGCACAGGACGGACACACGAAAACATTTAGAGCGCGTGCACGGCTTGAAAACTGACGACCAACTGTTCAATCCTGGTCACTGCAGGAGTTACATGGATGACTAGAACAGCTGATAACACGGTGTACCAACCTTATCTACTCAAATTATTTCTTTCCTGTTTGATTTCTATTATCCTCTCAAAAATTGGATTGGCAGATGAACTTGTTTGGCAGTTAATTACTAAGTTGGGTTCTTTAGCTGTACTGCTGTAGATATGGAAATTTTCGATGCAATTAAGTTTGTGACTTTTATTGCCAATATGTAGTATTTCTAAATTGTTTGTCGGAATAATCATGGCAATACTGTTGAATATGTTCAGCATAGTTTGAAGTAGGGTTGGGTTTCTTAATGGCGCTTATGTGCTCTTTATATCTGGTTTTAAAGCACCTACCAGTCTGTCCAATATAATACGAGTCACATTCTCCACACTTAAGTTTGTAAACTCCTGGCCGTGTTATCAGCTGTTCTAGTCATCCATGTAACTCCTGCAGTGACCAGGATTGAACAGTCGGTCGTCAGTTTTCAAGCCGTGCACGCGCTCTAAATGTTTTCGTGTGTCCGTCCTGTGCTTATATGTGTATTATTTATTCAACCCCTGACGCAATGCAAATGAAGACAATTCGTGTTAAATGTGACAAGACTATAGTTTAGTGTACCACTACGCACCTGACAATGGAGTCATCTCCGAAACGGCCGTAGTGGAATATTACCCCTGATTGCGTTGACGGTAAGAACCATATAGGGTGAAGTGGGGTAAGTGTACGCACGGGGCAAGTGGACGCGTTGACTATAAATAGGCCATAAATGGGGAAAAACATTTTTAATTCATCTTTTTATATGATTTGAAATGTGATCTTTCAGATTCTGAAGTCAGAAATCAGCATTTATAATTATTTATACATGAAAATTAAGTTTTAAAACACCTTTGCATTTCTACTTACTACGAAAGTACCGCCTTCAAATTTTGAAAAATCATATAAAATCAAAAAAATAGAAATAGAAATTTGAAAATTGGTACACTGATACAGTTTTGTAAGAGGAATCCAAAAATGTGGTTTATGTGCCTCTAAAATGTATTGTTAAAAAAAAATAGGGGGGGCGTACACTTTCCCCGGGCCAAACAGTGGTTGGGGTCTTCCAGCCCCGGGGTAAGTGTACATAGCCCTAATAGTACAGGTAAAATAATACAAAAACACTCCATATAAACAACAAAATTTGTACATTCATGAAATTTCACCCGTAAGTTACTAAAAATATGAGAAATAAAGATCCGATGAGTCCCCAATATTTTGGGCGTCCTAAGGCCCTTTTTGGGGCCCTTTTTGTTCCGAAGGGCCCTTGTTCCTGAATAATTTTGTTTTTACGTTTAAGGTCGAGAGAGGTGTGGTGTTCGATGGTTTTAGTTATTTTAAATCGATTGGGACTAGTTTTAAGTGTATTAAACCACTCAATACAGGGTGTTTCGAAATATAAATACTTTTTACGATATTTAAAGATTTATTCATAAAGTAAAAAAAATAGTTACCCCCATGCTCCATATAAAAGGGGATTATTGAAAATAACTTTAATTCTTTACTATATAAGAGGGAAGGATCACAAGGAGTAAGAGAAAATATTAAATACCCCCGTCACAGCAAAACTGCAGACTAAGCGAATTTTCATTTGCCCGATTTTCAATTAAATCTAAAATAGCATTGAGTTTAATGAATACTTAGGTTTGCTGCTACAAGGAGGCTAATAAAGTGTGTTTATAGTAAAATATTAATAGCCTAGTATAAAACAAATAAATTTGACAAGTTTTATTAAGACATATCTATAAACAAACAAACAAAATCATTTTACAATTCTCCGAATAACATGGAATTTTAAATGTACAATTTTTGAATTTCATTCGTAACTAATACACTTACAAAACAAGTTAATATACTAAATTATTTGTTTTCTTTAAGCTCTTTAAAATGCACTAGAGAAAAATTGGGAAACTTTGTGTTTTGAGGGTCAAAGATTACAAATGTTTCTCCACATAAAACCCTGTTCCATGGACCGGTTTTGCCGGTTTTGTTAAAATTGAACCAAAATTACTTGAGTTATCATGTTTACGGACACGTATATAACATGGATATATTATATTATATATATGTATATAAACACATATATAATATTTTGAGTGGTTGGTGCTTTAGGCTTCTGGGGGCATCAAAATGAAAACGTAAATCGGTTTCGGGTCTATGTTTTACCATAAGACCTTCGGTAATAGCTTATTTCCTATATGGGGAGTTAAAGGGGGATAAGTTATCCCCTTAAGGGAGGGGGGTTAGGTCATCTGGTGGGTAAAAAGGGTATGGATTAAGTTTTACACTATAACATAATAAGATAGGTTACTACGCAAAAATTACAACTTTTAAGGTGGTGTGAATAATCTTACAATGTGTTTTTATGCAAATCTATTAAGACCAATTTCAAATTGATATGTATTTTTCTTAGGTAGTTATTTAAATATTTTTTTACATTTATTAAAAATTAAAACAATTGTAGTTGTATAAAACCTTACATTACATATTAAAATGACTTAAACTAAAAATTTACTTAAACTAATGCTATTTTTCTACAATTTCCGTAGTATCTCTCTCTTCAATTTCATTATCACAATAATTATTCTCAGACGACTCATTAACAATTTTATTATTCTTTAGCAACTTGTCCATCTTTACTGATTTTGTCCAAGTTGGTGTTCAAGCGGGATTCCCCTTTACAAACCTTGCATATTGCAGAACAGGCAGTGCCGGATTTACCACTAGGCCGATTAGGCCGCGGCCTAGGGCCGCAAGCAGAAGGGGGCCGCAGAGGATTGAGAAAAACATTTTTTAGATAAAAAATATTTTTTTTACCACCAGTTTGCAGCGATCACAGGTGACCTTAATGATGTCTCCGCGGACCAAGGGAGATGTTCACGATTTTGCCACGGCCGCGGGTGACGGCACAGAAAACATCCTACTATAACCTTATAGTATAAGGTTATATTAGTATGTTTTCTGTGGTGACGGCGATATGTCCTCATGATCGCAGCCCGCGGGAGACGTTCAAGAATTAGCCGCTGTCGCGAGTTGTCAATGATGATGTCCCCATGATTGTGGCCCACGGGAGACGTTCACGATTTAGCCGCGGCCGCGGGTGACGGCGATGTGTCCTCATGGTCGCAGCCCGCGAGAGACGTTCAAGAATTAGCCGCTGTCACGAGTGTCGATGATGTTGTCCCCGTGATTGCGGCTCACGGGAGTTGTTTACGATTTCGGCACGACCGCGGGGGACAATTATGATGTCGTCATGATCGCAGTCCACCGGAGATGTTTTTAACACGACTTTGCCACGGTCGCGAGTGTCGATGGTGATGTCCCCGTGATTGTGGCCCACGGGAGATGTTCACGATTTTACTGTGGTCGCGGGTGACGGTGATGATGTCCTCAAGGTCAAAGCCCACGGGATATGATTTCGCCGCGGTTGTGACTGTTGAGGATTATGTCCCTTTGTTGCAGCCCGCGGGGGATGTTTACGATTTTGCCTAGGTCACGGATACCTATGATGGATTTGTCTTGGTTTAGGAGAGATGTCCACGATCACGGGTGTCGACAATGATGTCCTCTAGATGCATAGGAGATATTCACGATTACTTCCGCTATCTCAAGGAATTTCCACCACAGGGGGAGGGCCGCTCAAGTAATTTGGCCTAGGGCCGCAAGTACCCTAAATCCGGCACTGAGAACAGGCAACACCAATCTTAAAGCACGGACAATGTGGTGCAAAAACACCTTTCATACATACTGACGTTTGCAACTTGTATCTTAAGTTCCCCAAAATTATTTTCAATCAATTTGTCTTTGATGGTTATGACGACCAGGACAGCACTAAGACATCAGAGCAGCATTGTTGGTACAAGCATTTTTGTCCTTAACAATGGGAACGAGGTTTATGCGGTAAAAATTAAGTTTTCTCAATTTACCCTCAAAACACAAAGTTTCCCAATTTTTCTCAAGAACATTTTAAATAGTTTAAAAACAAATAATTTAGTATATTAACGTGTTTTTGTATGGTTATTAGTTACGGATAAAAATACTAAAATTGTAAATTTAAAATTCCCATGTTATTCTTATGTAGAATAATGTAAAATGATTTTATTTGTTTCTTAATAGATATATCTTGATCAAACTTGTCAAATTTTTGTTTTATACTAGGCTATTAATATTTTTCTATAAACACACTTTATTAGCCTCCTTGTAGCAGCAAACCTAGGTAATCGTTAAACGCAATGCTATTTTAGATTTAATTGAAAATCAAGTAAGTAAAACGGAATTCGCTAGGTCTGCAGGTTTGCTGTGACGGGGGTATTTAATATTTTCTCTTACTCCTTGTGATCCTTTTCCCTTACGTAGTAAAGAATTACAATTATTTTAAATAATCCCCTTTTATATAGAGCATGGAGGTAACTAATTTCATTACTTTATGAATAAATGTTTAAATATCGTTAAAAGTAATAATATTTCGAAACACCCTGTATGGAGTGGTTTTATACACTTAAAACTAGTCCCAATCGATTTAAAATAACTAAAACCATCGAAAACCACACCTCACTCGACCTTATACGTAAAAACAAAATTATTCAGGAACAAGGGCCCTTCGGAACACAAAGAGCCCCAAAAAGGGCCTTAGGATGCCAAAAATTTTGGGGACTCATCGGATCTTCATTTCCCATATTATTAGTACCTCACAGGTGAAATTTCATGAATGTACAAATTTTGTTGTTTATAAAACCCTATTTTACCTGTACTATAAATGCAATGACAAAAAATGCATTCGATGACATCGGGCCTGTCGTTAGGTTTATAAGAAAAAAATGTGACAACATGTTTTACTGGCCTAAAAAAGAAGACTGTTCAGTCATTCCTGAAGAGGATGTGCTCAAAATGGTACCAGAACCTACACCAGGCAGAAGGGGGGGGGGGGGGTTAATATTTGATGCTTCTCTCTTTTCTGTCAACGTTCAATAAAAAATTTTTTTTTAAACTAGCTGTAAATATGTAAATAATAAGTATTTTCAAAGCAAGGGAACAGTTCCTTAAATATAGTGTTAGTGAAATAGTCATGTGGCCTAATATGAACTGCTTAAGAATTATTTGGCGGAATTTAAAAAAAGTCATTTACAGTGCAGAATTCACCTCCAGGAAAAAATTGTATACGCATATTTAAAATTGTGTTTTTAGATTCTAACTAGCCTACCATTATTTGTGAGATATTAAATAAGTTTTTTACAGCATTTAATTCATTTAAAATAATTTATTAACACACTAATAATAATAATTGTAAATGTAATAATTGTGTGTGTTTCACGAAAATTGTATGCGGAGTTCCACAAAAAAGTTCATAACTCCTGAACAGTTGGAGCTAATTTAACAAATAAAAAACCATTTTAATCAGCAGATTCTAAGCTATGCTCCACTTGCCCCAGATTCCACCTAATGTGAGTTAATAAAAGTATAAGGGGGGTGCGTACACTTACCCCGATTTCAGGGGCAAGTGTACGCACAGGACATCAGTTTATAAAAAAATTTATATAAAAAAAAGTTAAATAATTAATTTACAATTAAAAAAAAATACCACATACACAAAACATTCCAAGCTTTCTGCTCACCAAGTTTCATTAAGATATCTGAAATACAATTGAAGTTATTGTAAGTTAAAGTGCAACTAGTCGTTTTGGCGCGTACACTTACCCCACTTCACCCTATATTATTATTACTTGATTGAGTATAAAATGATTTCAGAACACATTAAAGTCAAAGTCGATAATTTATTATATGGCTTTGCCTTCTTTTCCGTGCTGCCCTGTCGGTCTGGCGGACTTGTCGCAGCTCGCGGGCGTGGGCTGCCGGCCGCTGCGTACGCATAGTGTAGGCCTACCTATCCACCTCACCCTGCCATCGTTCGTTACTACGCAGCAGCAGCGCGTATGACATTGACATCTGTAATATGGACATAAACTAAGAGAAGCTATTGTTCGATCTGATCACTTATCAGATGTTGAAGATAGCTTCTTTGATGAGATTGTAGGCCTACACCATAAATCCTATATTGAAAGTGTCAAGGCAAGACTTGAAAAATAAAGAAAACCCCAGCTAAGATGAGAACAAAAATGATATTAAACTCAAACTTGATGTCCAAATGTCCAAGTAAAAAACCTAATAAAATCCCTCCACCAAGGCTTTTGAAAGAAATATAATAGAGAAGAAGATCATTAATCAGTTTGTCCAAATGTAGAAGTAGCGATTATGACCTTCCTGATTGGATCCTGACATTGCATTCCATGTATGCAAAACAGGATCGCGTTTTTCATAAAAATGGGGAGACAAAAACGTCTGTAAAAGAGGGTTCAAAATTTTATTAGATTTATTGATGCAGCATATGCAATTGCCAATTACTTTTCTACAAAAACAGCAGGGCATGTATTGGGGTTATTTTATTGTGGTCGGTGAGCACACTGACGATGATGGGGGGAGGGGGCGGCTAACTTATTCCCTGCCTAGAGGCGGCAGATAGTTAAATATGTCCCTGGATCTAGGTCTATCTACCCTTCGGTTGGCTATTTTTCTCCGTATTAGCCTAGGCCTACAGTGGTTTCTGACAAGTTTGTTTGCATGTTACCTCTGGCTATGGTGGATTGTATTTTAATTAGGCCTATAAAACAAAAAATTGCTGTTAGTTATTTTGTGTGTTGTATCTTATTCTTTTTAGTGAACAGCAGCTTTTAAAAATCTCAAAAGTTGTGTTGTATTTGGTGCCATCTGACAAAATGTCTTACCATGGTTATGTACTCATTTAGGTATCGTCTAATGGGACCGATTTCAGTTTTCATTTTGAAACAATCCACAGAAAGAGTACAATACCCTCGGGAAATGCAATTTAACTATCATTACTGGTAAAGTAAAAATACCAGCTTATTTTTATGTGTGTCCTAAATATTTTGAATAAGTTTGATAGAAAAACTAAATACATTTTTCTCTTTTAGGGATACAGCTGGCCAAGAGAGGTTCAGAACCATCACAACTGCCTACTACAGAGGGGCAATGGGCATAATGCTGGTGTATGACATAACTAACGAGAAGAGCTTTGAAAATATCAAGAACTGGATACGAAACATTGAAGAGAATGCTTCTGCAGATGTCGAGAAAATGCTCTTGGGAAACAAATGTGAACTGAATGAGAAAAGACAGGTAATCTTTCAAATAAAAAATCAAATAAACAATTTATATGTCGAACAGGGTAAGAATCTGGAATAGTGCGGGCATTCAATGCTCGGTAATCGCCACATGGTCGCCACTCATCATTCTTTTTAGGTACCATATGGTGATGACATGGGCTTTTGGAACGACACGCAGTTCCATTTGCTACCTTGGATTCAAACTCTAATTTGGCAATTTTATATTTATCCGGAGCTAACCTTCTTGGTCTTGATGAGACTGGTGGGCCAGGAGTCGTATTTATGTAATGTACTGTGTTATGAGGAATAAATCTTGGTACTCCTAAATGTTTTGTGATTTCCGGAAATTCCAATAACAGTGGATAGTTTGATGGGTCGGAAGTAATTAATTTAATACTAAATTGCTGAGTATTCATGAACTGACATTTACTTTTTAATTGTGTAATGTTGTCAATTAAGAAACCGTTACTACAATCAGGTAATAAAGAATAGTGAGCTAGGAAGTCAGAACCAATGATTGGAGTGCTTACTTTAGCCATTATGAAATTCCAGACTAGAGTTCTTCGTAGACCAATATTTAAGTTGAGACATAAACTACCATAAGTGGGTATTTCAGAGTTATTTGCAGCTCTGAGTTCTATCCCGTATGGTTTTAAGGGTCTTTTTACTAAATTTAGTGGTATACAACTTACGTCTGAACCTGTGTCTATCAGAAACTTATAGCCTGAATTGTTATCAATTACTTGTAACCTGTTGGTGTGGTTGCTGTCAACTCCGGGTGGTTCATGAGTTTGGCGTCTAGGCACATGACAACTAGTCGACACCACATTTAGTTGCCTAGTTCATTTTTTGTAGAAGGATAAGTGCTTGGAGTCACGCATTTGGTGGCTCGTGATCCATAACGTTTATGATACCAGCAGTAGATGTCATTGTGGGGTGAGGTACTATGCTGTTTACTGGGCTGGCTTTGACTTTGTGATCTGAACTTACTATTTTTATATGTCATCAAGTCGTCTGAAAGACAGTTAACATTCTCCTCCAGCATTGAAAGTTTCTCCAAAATTGCCTCTAAACCTCCTCCTTGATTGAGATTGTTGTGACTATGTGGGGTCTGAGAAAAGGTATTCGTTGGCTTACCTCGGTTTGACGAAATAGCGTCACAGCTTATTGCAGGAGAACTCAAAGGTTGAACCTCCTGAATCTTGTTCGCTGTAACGGCCAATGATTCGGTGCTGACCCCAGCGCCTAACTGGGTTTGCAGGATGCCTTGAATGTGCGCAGGAAGTCGCTGACTCCAGATGATTCTCAGCAAGTCATCTTGAACGCTGCTGCCAGCTAACGATTTCAGTCTTCTGAGAAAGTGTGATGGCGTATCTGAACCGAGTTCTTCTTCGAGTAACTGTTTAATTCTCTTATGTTCCGAGACTGATAATCTTCTTATTAATTCTTTCTCAGGGTGTCCACATTCTGGAAAGTCAGGGATAGTCATGGAAAGTCATGGAAAACAATTCTGGTCATTGAAAGTCATGGAAATAGGCAAAAGGTCATGGAAAGTCATGGAAATTCCCCATGATGGATGATTTGAGGGAACTATTCAATGCTCTAGTCCGCCGTAACTCCGACTACTGTAGCATTTTTCTGGATTTTTCAACAATTTTCGACATTTCAATTTATTACAGTTGTATTATTCTATGATTTTTGAGTTTGTATTAGTTCATTGTTGTACCATTGTACTCCATTGTTGTCTGTTAATACATATTTCAGTAGTTTCTGCAAAATCTAGGCAGTTTTATTTGTGTGTGTTTGTTATATTATAATTTGAGTAAAGTTCGTGAGTCATGGAAATCGATGGTAAATGGTCATGGATAGTCATGGAAAGTCATGGAAATTAATGACAAATTTTCTGTGGACACCCTGTTTCTTCAGGCTCATGTAAGGGTTTTCCAGATTTGGGTTTGAGAGTAAATCCTCTATTTCGGAAGCAGTCATCTCATCTAAGTGTGTCACGTGTGTGAAACGAAGGTTCTCATAAAAAATGTGCCATAAAGAGAAAATCGCCTCAATCTTTATGAACCAAAGTGCTGGTTTCTCACACCAAAAATGGGGAAATTTTAATTGTGGAGATTGCATTGAAGTTATGTTGTCAGATGGTCTTGGATTTACTGAATTGTTTCTTTCTTGAGTTTTCTGATTAATTGGATTAACCAAAAAATCTTCTTCTGAATCATGATTTTGTCTTAAATGTTCAGAGTCAACTTCAATGACATCATTAAGTTGTTTTCTGAGATCTTGGTTTTGCTCTTCCATCAGTTTTAGTCTTGCAAATACTTCTTCATTGATTTCCATTATGTATTCATTCTTGATGTGTTCAAATCGGGGTCACAAATTTTAGTGGAAAGAACGGGTCCGCGGAATTGGTTAACTCTGGAACTCGCTAACCCGATGTTAAACGCCCTATCTTCAAATTTGGTCGATGAGAGGAACTCGCTAATTTGTTTGGTTTCGGAATTGGCTAACTCCGGAACCCGCTAACCCGCTCTAGAGCCGGGTTAGCGAATTCCGTCCCTGTACGGAAGTCGCTAACTCGGTCCCTCGGTGGAACTCGCTAACTCCCAATCAGAAGCCTTGCGGGCCGTCCAATGGGAGCCAAGCACGAATATTTTTGGCCAGTGTTGCCGAAAGTGTAGTACCTATATCGTATTATTATTCTTATGATTATTAGGGTGGAAAATGCATTATAGTCTTACCATAGACTAACCAACACAAGTAAACTTTACATCCCATTGTAAACTTTGAAGCTCGTTTTTCGTGTCTAGTTCATGTCCGGTGACACTGATCGCTAGTGTCGACAAAATTGTGTTTCTATTATTTTATAGTTAACTTCATGATTTGTTCTTTACTGTTTGGTTATATAACTAGGGGACGTGATATTAGTTGTGATTAGAACGTTTTATTTGGTTAAACGAGGTTTTAAATTACTGGAAACAAGAAACAATTGTAAACAAAACACGATCTCTTAAGACAGTGCACCGGACAGAACTAACAATACAACTGTCTTCAGATGATCCATAAGGATGAGAAATGTACTAATATAAGGGAGTATGTTTTATACGTAGGTTTCTTACTTAAATAGTAGCTTATTGATATGCAAAAAGATAAAATGCACATTTAATTTGGATCTATTACATGTTATGAAATATCTATTTTCGTAGTCCACCATTTGTTTCTTTAATTTGAATAAATACCATTTTGTAAACTTCTGAAAATAAAATTATTGAGTTCGTATTTTATATAGCCTACTGGGCTTGTAACCTTAAATCGTAAATCATAATAAAATTTACACGTTAAACTTCATTACAGAATTACATTGTAGTGGTAATGCATTTTTAAATAGAGCTATTGAATTTAAATAAATATTTATCAATACATTATAAAGTGGTAGGCCTAATGTATTCATGGATTGCATTAAAAGTTAGTCTATGCATAAATACAACTTGTAAATTTCTTTTATCGTAGGCTATTAGTGTAGAACCCGGGTCATCCCTTAATTTTGTTGAATTAATATTAATTTTACGTCTTTAAGTAGGCCTACTTTTTAAAAGTCTGGAGTTTTTCTCCAGGCTGGTTCTAAATGGACCCAAGCGTTCTTTTGTTTGTTACAATTCTTATGAATGGTGGCCATAGCTAAAATTACTTGATCTTATCCAAAAACAAAGTTATTGTCTATTGTGTAGCTCAGTACTGGGGAACGGTGAACCGAGCAATGGCTTGGTATCGTTTATATCGATTGTGAAAGCAATATAAAGGAAACCCAACACTCAAATCAGGAAAATCCGTCAATTTGTTTATTAAGAATCGTGAATTAAAATAACCCTGTCTCGTTTTATAATATGAATATTATATCTTCTCCTATTTTTTACTAGTGGTGCTTAGGTGTACAATATAAAAACGGTTATAAAACATGTAATTGCAAAAAGAATTCAACACATTTTAGAATTAGGCAACTATTTACTAGTAGGCCTACAATGCTTTGGTTCAAACTATTAGGCCTAGATAAAAACTTAGTCTATGTCATCATATTTGTACACGTAAGTTGGACGGTTCAACGACGAACATTTAATTTAAAATCTATGAATTAGTTATGAAAGTTACGATGGTTGATGACTATAATTAATAGTTTTGGTTTATTACGACATTACAATTAAATCTGTTTTCCGTGTTTAAGAACTTGCGTGTATTTTAGCTTAATTTCGTAGAGGTTTAATTATTTAGTACCAATTAAACTAAATTTTGAATATTTTTCATATTCTATTATTTTCCTTTATACTGATGGCATTTATATTTAAGATCGAAATCATGAACATTTAACTGGCCATTGTACAGTTTAATAAAAAAAACACTTTTTCATGATTTTTTAATTGTCTTTTAATTACTTTGGGCTAGTTATCTGTTAAAAGTGGAATTGATAACAAAAAACAATAACATTTACTGTATCTTTATAGACACTGACATTTTGAAATACGGCAGTGTACGATTATTTTGTCGTACAAGGTTGGCAACGCTCCGAGCAGTGGGCGCGGCCGGGTTAGCGATTTCCAGAGTTAGCGAATTCCGCCTCGAGACAAAATCGAGTTAGCGGGTTCCGGAGTTAGCCAATTCCTGACTGAGACGGTTAGCCAGTTCCAGAGTTAGCCAGTTCCGACACACGACCGAGTTAGCGAGTTCCTGAGTTAGCCAATTCCTACGTCTCGAAAGAACCACTTTTAAATAGAAGAATACTTGAAATAAAGTCTAGAGGTTTCCACTAAATATTATTGTTTAATTTATCATACTTTTAAAAGTAATTAACAATTAATTGTTTAGAGCAAATAAAAATGAACCACTTTGGTTGAAAAACCTAAAAGAATGTCTCTTTGTTTATTTTTCTCTTCATAGCAACCAAAATTCAATAAAACTATTTAAAACATATGTCAGCTGATAAATCTGTCAGCTCACTACAGTATTATGCCAAAA